TCTTTTGTGAAACAACACAACTGGAGCAGGGAGGAGAGTGCTTGTTAAGCTAGGCCTTCCTGTGGCAGAATTAAGACTGGAAAAAAGGGGTTTTGCTTACTGTTGTTCCTTTCTAGGTTGAATAAAAGCACAAAAATCTCATGGTCCTGGAAATTGTCTGGAACAACTACCATGTAGAGTTTGGCACTGAAGCCTGAATAGTGGCCTTGTGGTTGCACACTGTGTGGCCAATAAGGTCAAAGTAGTTGATAGCAAGGACTTCAGAGCTATGGTGTTGGCAGTTAAATTAGAGTTTGACTGTCACTAATGACCCTTCTTGAAGTTTTGGCATGACTGACTATTAGTGGTCATGGTAAATAGTTGATTTGAGAACCCTTCTCACAATGGAAAGAGAATGTTCAAGTATTCCCAGACTAAAACTGATTTATTACAACCATTCACTATAGTTTAATAAGCACCCTGTGATGCTGGAGTTCACTGCAGTGTGTAGTAGCTGTTGATTGAAAAGCAGAGTAACTGAAACGTGCTAGCAGGATGCTACTTCTATACATTTTAAACTCGCTTAACTTGATTCACTAAGCCTCTTGATCATTTTCGTCCCTGCTGCAGTATTTCTGGGTAGTTCTTTTGGCTCGGTTTTATAGGTTGAACTTTTCCTTTTAAACTAACTGAACTCTTGAGTTTCAGCATTCTGAGGGACATTGTTGGCAAGAGTTGCTTTGCTTGATTCATAAACAGAGGATTTTGCTGTTTATCACACTCTTGACAACTCTGTATTATTTGGTCCAGGAAAAAACTGCAAAACTTCATTGCGTTGGTCTTCCAGTTAGCAGCAAGTAACTTTGGAGTCAAATTCTTCAGCTAGTTGTGCACTGACCTTTGGGGGACTGTAGTCTAGACTATACATACGTAGTTCAAGATTATTTGATGTGGGACTGCCAAACTTGGTAAAATCAGCTTTTGAGCTCTGGCCACCCATTAAGTTGATTAGCCTGTCAAAGATTACTTGAACTTACATTACTTCAATGAAAGACACTATTTTTCCATCCTTCTTCCAGTTGTTGGACTTTTATGAACCTTAGTCATCTTTTTCTTCCTTGTTAATGATGCCATTCTGGAGGATGCCAGAACTGTTAGTCTCTTCTGCAAAAGAGAAACTTTGTCCAGTTGTCCATCAGTACTCTTGATGAGATGCTGAGGGTTTAAATGCGACTAACACAACTCTGATTTCAGAATTGTGTGGTTTCAGATAAAACTAAGCTTAAATTTTTATTTATTTTTTTATACTTTCTATACTGTTGGTATTGACACAGGTAAACCGAAATTCACCTTTGTGGGGAAAAAAATGTATAGGTTGGGAAGCTAGCTAGGCCATTTTACTCTCCTTGAGTAAGTCCTTGTTAGTTTATATAAACTATATATTAAGACTTCTAGGTATAATAAGTAGCCTAGGAGAAGGAACCCTCACAAAAACTTGGTATCATGCATATCCATCAGTCATTTGTACCTATAACTTGCATTTTCTAGTCTCAGTTCCCACTGCATAGGAGGAGTTAAGAGTAAGAGCAGAAATAGTGGTAGGAGTATAGGGTATCTCCAGCTAACTAAAAGCAGAAACTGCCCCAATAAGTCACACTGCTGTGATAAATAAGACTCTTGTTTATTCCTTACACTGGCAAAGATTGCTGTAGAAACTCTTTTTAAAATGTACTTGAAGGCAAGGTTGGCACTGTCTGAATCTTACAATGATAACTTGTATTTCACAGTGAAGGACAAAGATAAAGCTTCTTATGTCAGACCTGGTTGTAATTTTTTTCATGTAGTTTTTAGCTTACAGTTTACCCGTAACAATGTAAACTGGGAAGTTTATTATTAAGCTAATAGTTCCCAAGCTCTCGTACAGTTTTAAACTAAACTTAATGCTTGCTATGCTGTAGGGAACTGTATTAGTTCCTGATGCATCACATTATGCAAGTATTTCATTTAATGTTGCAATTACTGGAAAATACGGTGGCAATATGTGCTGAGTCATTTATATGTGAAAACTTTGTGGTTAGAGAATGCAGAACTTGACATTGCATGCAGCACTTCCATACCCATAAGCAAAACCTCTGATCCCTGTGACTGCCTTGTAGCTTAGCTCCTCATCTACACCTGAACCACTAAAACACAGGGAAAGTATACCTTTGTGGCACCTTCAGGTGTAAGCCAAGGCACCAGACCTACCAGTGTGATTAATCTATAATACCCTTTCCATACTGTTGTAGTAAGCAAGTAGCTATCTTCCTGTCCTCTTCCTTCCATGATTATACACATTAGAGTTTTTCAATCTAGTTTCATCTGATCAGTTTTTTTTCCCTTCTGTGGGTGTGTTCCATTTTTTGCACTGCTCAACACTATTCTCACACATGGTGAAATGATTAGAGCAAAAACTTGCTAGACATAGGAAAGGGAGTGACAAATCCCTGGTTGAACTGAGCACGGCAAAAATTGAGTCACTTAGTTTTAATAACAAATAGAGAATGATGTTCAGACTCCTAGTTGTGCAGTTTGCCTTTTCTGTATGGGTGTTTTTGCAAGAAGAACACTTGCTAAAGGTTTGTATGAAAGTCTTGTTAAATTTTCAAAAAGCTGTCTAGAATGCTCTGCATCCCCTATAAGAAGCTTAGTATGTGCATTGTCAGTAATAACAGAACTTTAAACATCTACTCGGTTTATACTGAATTCTCTTCCTGCCTCATGCCATATACCTTTTACAACAACAAAACTAACTTACTTCTTAGGCAAGCCATGTGTTACTGCTTCTGTCTTCTTTCTAGGAAATAGAATATATGCTTCCTCCTTAGGCCTCCAGATAGAACAGAAGAGCAGTTGTAAGCAAGTATGTGGGTCAGGCTTATTGTTAGTGGTGGTTAATTCTAGAGGTCAAAGTAGCTCTGTAATAAACTGTTTTGGAGTCTGGGCTACTGTAGGAAAGGACACTCTAGTATGAGTGCTGCCTTTGACCAGTTAAAAGGCATTAATCTAACACTATAAAGGTGTTGAACTTTGCATTTTTAAGGGCTAAGGGGTGTAAAATCCTCCTAATGTAAAGCTTAAATCTAATAAGATAAGCTTTCACACTGATATGCACATCAGTTGTCTACTTTTATCCAAATTTAAATTACTGAACAATGTATTGTTTCCATATCTAAAATTCATAAGGGCAAAAATTGAATTTTATCATAAAACCAGCTAGAAAGAATATTTAAATAATTCTTGACAGCTGAAGCCCATGCTTTCTAAGTGTCTGCTATGGAGTACAAAGTATAGTTTAGTTCAGTGCAGGCCAAGACCACCTTTTAAGCTTAAGAATCTAGCCTAGAAAGGCTTAGACAGACCATGTGCATACAGGTTCTGTGTACACTCTTTAGGAGACACATACCAGCAATGTCTCTTCCAGTGACATAGTCACAGAGATATAGGCTTGGTGCCTGGCTTGTTTGCCTTAAGAGTCCATGGCATAAATGTTGCTGCAAATTTTGAACTTAGAATATGGAGGGAACAGCTTTCCCCTTGCGTGTTGCTTGTTATCACACAGAGGGTAATGAGCTGGTAGTGAAGAAATTCATGTATAATTTCTAATCCTTAGAATATGTGAGCTAGTGATGCTGTTTTGTGCAGCATCATTGTGTAAAGCTGAACAGACAGAAATAAAGTCAGGCTTATAATTCTCTGGAACTTCACTGCTGCTGCTTTCAAGCAATTCTAACAGCTGCTTAGTCAGGCTTTTCTGAAAATGTCTATAGGGAATGAGCTAACGTGTACACTGAAGTACTGAAGTTGAAATGAGGCATGCTGTTGAACAGGATTCCTTGTCAAGTTCCTTCACCTAATGAATTTCTGGCTCTGAGAAGTTAATACCCACTTCTTGTAAATGTTTGTCCTTGCTAATCAAAGGCAGACTTCAGTGTTTATAAACAGAGAACAACTATGTTTCCAATTAAAACTTTCACTAAAATTGCATAAGCACTAAAAGCTGAAGTGATGATACACTGTAAAATTAAATTATAAAGTGCAGGGATGACTGTTTCTAGTGAAGACTTCTGAACAAAGCAGAAAGCTGTTTTGGTGGCCTGAACTTTCCAAACAACATGCTAGCACTAGTCACTGCTGTGCATGCTCAAATACAAACTTAGCACGATGGTCTGACCTTCTGAACAGAGTAATAACTGAACTGGCACTCTAATTCTACATTTCAAGCATACTGACTACAATAGTTGTACTTAACAAGAAAAGGCTTTTTTAGTTTGCTGTGCTCACTAACCATTGGTTTTCTTCTGGATTTTTGTTGTGAATAAATAGATTCTATTCTGATAATCTTGTTTCAAATTCTGGGGTTGCTGTGGAGTTCCTATAGTTGGACATTATTCCAGTTAGTCCAGGTTTAGCTAGAACTGTTAAACTAGCTGCTTTTGAGCTTGTCTATAAGGAAAAATCTGTATTATAGGTGACTTCTTCAGAGGATGGTTTGAAGGCTGTTAGGTCTTAGAGCTCGTAGAAACCTTTGTTACTCACACTTCAGAAAAAGGCTCTGAGTTGGCTCAAGTTTCCAGCTGAAGTAACTATAGAGTTATATCTAAATATTGCAGAACTTTTTGATGAAAGAATGATTTGTCTATAGCTGTACTGGTAGTGGTTTTCTTCTTTAGGCATTCCTTCTCCAAGAACACTACTCAGTCAAGTTGTAAAAAAAAAAAAATTAAAAAAAAAAATTAAAAAAAAAGAAAAGTATTAGTTGGGGTTGCAAACTGCTCTTAGCATCTGACTTGTCATATGTGTAATATACATAATAGCTGTTACAATGAGCTTACTTGGGATAGAAGTAGCAATGTTGTATGGACTAAGTGACCAGACATGAATCCCAAACCTATATGTACTAACCTGGTATAGAGTCAGTTTATACTCACTACAGTTCATGCTTTAATATAAATGTATTCTCTCACTGTCCTCTTTTTCAGGCCAGGAGCGCTTTGGAAATATGACTAGAGTATACTACAAAGAGGCAGTTGGTGCTTTTGTGGTCTTTGATGTTACAAGAGGGTCTACTTTTGAGGCTGTTTTAAAATGGAAGCATGATTTGGACAGTAAAGTACTGCTTCCCAATGGCAGCCCCATCCCTGTTGTTCTTCTTGCAAACAAGTGTGACCAAAAGAAAGATGGCAGCCAGAACCCCACTCAAATGGACCAGTTCTGCAGAGAAGGTGGCTTTGTTGGATGGTTTGAAACATCTGCCAAGGTGAGCATAAGTAAATGTTTTAACTCTAAGTGTTGGTGTAATAATGGATGAACATAATCATATAGGAAATAAAATTATCAAGTATAGCAAGTGATAGCTAAGTCTCCAGTGTTCAGGAAAAGTTGGAGGTGGTATACAGGCTTGTGGTGTATTTGGTTTAGATTAGAACTATGTCTTAAATTCAGAGAACCTTAAAACTAACTGGAAACCTTGATTAACTGAGTTTATTTTTTTTTTTTCCATCTTGCATCCATCAGGATCAGAGTTTTTCTTTAGATGTTAATATTACTGTCAAAGATAAGTAATCTTTAGGTGCAAATTTTTAAATTACAGCTTCTGTCTTCACTGTTGCATTGTTGGGAGTGGTAAGACTAGAAGTGAACAAACATTTGCTCACTTGGTACTACCTACCTGGACAATGATGTCACTAAAGCATTTTCTGTTTTATGAGGCAGTGTCAGGGCTAAACTGGAGAAAAACCAACTGTTCTGTGTAGTAACTTTGGTTAAGATAGTTGCTTTATTCAAATGGAACTGTAAGTAACTTCATATATTGTACACTTTTATTCTACAGACCTGGTTAATGCACAGATGAGGTTGCAGTAGCTTAGCTGGAAATGAAATTCAACAGTTCCTTAAAACTCAGTAGAATCTTAAAATGAAAGGTCTCTCTGTATGAAAACAATGTGGCTGACAGACCAGATTATTGGTCTGGCTGATAACTCATTTACATGGAAAACTAAACCTCAAAATCCCTCTTTCTTTGGCTGGCCTACTTCCTTTAACTGCTGCTGATGAACTGGCACAAAATGATGCTTAGACAACTCATTAGAAGTAAAAAGTCTGGAAGAATAATGCAGGAAATAAATTAATAAGCCTCTCCTGGATCACTTTAAGGATGAAGACACAGTGACAGAATTAGTTAAGTTAGCTAATCATTTGTTTGCACTTGAATAAATTATATCCAAATTCCACACCCACCTATTACTAAAACATCCAGTTGTAAGGTTCCTAATACTCAAAGAATACCAAGATTCTGCTTTGGGTCATACCTTCCCTGGAGCTTCACCTGTCCATAACACTGCTATGTATGAACTTCAGTGTGGGTTAAAAATAAATGCAAGTAGCACAGGGACTAAACCTAATGTGGAAGCGTAGTGACAGCTTGTATTTTAGATGGCATTTAAGGCATGACAATGTCAAACAAGGTTCTTGGTGTGGAGAAAAGCCCAGACAATATTAGTCCTAATTCAGTTATGATTTGACTTCATAGGACTCTGAAGAGGCGTAGTTAAAATAGCTTAGCAAAAAATCAGGACAGCTTTTTTTGTTTTCCAAGCATACCAAATCAGTTTATGGCTTTGAATTCCTGCTCACTTAAATATCTTGATAATCTGTTTTTGCCTTTCTGCTGGAAATGATACTTGAATCTTCAGTCTAGTCATCAGTAATACAGGTCCCACTCTCTGCAGATTAGGTAGAATATTAAAGGCAAAAGAATTGCAGAGAGTGTAAATATGCATGGAAATATTAACATCCTCACACCAAAATGAGGAGATTCATCCTCCTCTCTGAGAATAGAGCAGTTTGTGGCTGACAACCACAAGCTTGTGAAGTGCAGTAGTAACATGTCAAATGCTCTCATGATCAAGCCTTGCTCATGTAGGCTCTGTAAAGAGAAGAGTGTTCTGGGGTGGTGTTTTGTTTGTAACTCAAGCAATTCCAAACATGGTAGCCCTGTAGTGAACCCTGGTGGCCTAGCCAAATCAAAGGTGTGACCAAAGGCCCCTTGGCACTGGCTAGCTTGGTCTCTCAGTAACTGAGATACCTAATGATGTATTTAATAGGGCTGTCCTGCATAGACTCTAAAGAAAAGTGTGTATTGTGAAGGTACTGTTCAAAACATGCACATCTGGCTAGAAGAGGCATGTTGATTTTAGCTGGGATTTTGAGGTGAATGAAGTCCTTTTACATAAATAAGTGCATCCAAACTGCAGCAGAAGCAGAAAAAGGCCCCAAAAGGTTGAATGCTACTATGAACAGTCTAATTGTCTATTATCTTTCCTAATGCAGAAATGCATTTAGGCATTTTGAGTTTTATAAATGCAGGTGACAGTTATCCCTGCCTGCCTGTTGAATTAGACTTGAAGTGTCCTATTAATAATATGGGTGAATAACTTTGTCTCAAACCTTTCGGTGACTTTTTTCAAAAAGCAAGTGTATGAGCAGTGACCTGATGCTTCTAAGTTGTTTCTGCCATGCTGATGAGACTATAGAAGAGTTTGTATATTTGGCCAGCTTCTAATAGAAATGTGTCACTATTTCAAAAAAATCACTTGTTTGCTTTCAACATTTTTAGGACAACATCAACATAGATGAAGCTGCTCGATTCTTGGTGGAAAACATCCTTACCAACTACAAAACCTTTCCTAATGAAGAGAATGATGTGGGGAAACCAAAACTGGACCTAGACCCATTGAAAGCAGAGAGTAAATCACAGTGCTGCTAATGATACCACTGTTCAGTGAATGTGATGGGACAAGCAGCAAGACTGTTCCTTAAATCAAACTGCTGCTATGGTGCTGCATTGTGACAATTCATATGGGCTGTCTGGTATTATCTAAATAGGTGATTCCTGTGGGTGTTTACATATTCTTGTTTTGCATGAAACTGTGTATCTTGGGAGTTATCACTCCACTTGCTTGAGTGGCTAAATTTAAATCTTATTAATGTCTTCTTACCTGAGAAAATAAGGTAGTGTTTACACTCCTAAAAAGGAACAAAGACAACATTCTGTGTCTAGTTTGCTTCTAGGATGTATGCTACATTCCAAATAGGACTTAACTTGTCATGGTTTTAGCTGTTCAGGTACTTGTACCTTTAAAGTAAACTTTTCCTTTCTCACGAGTAATATCCCACTTTAGCCTTCTCACTTACACATATGTCCCTATTTATTATCCCCCTCCATGAGAATCTGTCTCATTGCTAGTTCTTCTGTTTTGAGACATCCCAGAAATATTGAAGGGGCCAATGACAGATGGGAGGTATGTTAGTGTGTTCACTAGGACTGAGTGAAGTAGATGGCTTTTACCACTGAGTAAGAACAAGATCTGTAACTGATGGTATTTAACAAGGGAAAGGCATGGTTATAGAGATACTAACAAAAATACATGTCTGGCCATTTAAGGCAGAATATTTTCACCTAATACTTTACATATGAAACACATTAATGGATACAGTTGAACTTTTGGCACATAGTTATGGTAATCTCACCTATATGCACATCCAGAAATGAACATCCCGTAACTTTTTCATGCATTAACACTGGAAGCTTTACCAAGAGTGCAAAAAGTGTCTCACTGTTCTGTGATAATGAATTTGCTGCTTTTTCCTTTGTCTTCGTAGTTCTAAATACTATGAGAAAGGAGAGAGGTCTTGAAGGAAATAGCTTAACTGGTTCTTGCTAGCCTATCAAACCCTTTCCCCCATGCCACAAGCTCTATCTTTTTCAATTTTAGAACAGTGCTGCACTCTTCTGACTAGTTGGAGCTGGTGAACTGGTTTACCACTTTGTAACTCGGTATACTGAGATGCTTCTGTTTCCTTGTTATAACTCATGTATTTTTAGCAGCAAGTGAAGATCAAAAGGGTTAGAGAGATTTCACAGTTCTTAAATACATTCTGGAATTCTGCTCTCCTTGGTTGAAAGGCTATGGAACTCCCCTTTATTTTGAGGGTTTCTTCTGTCCTGGTACCTCATTGCTACTGACTTCAGAAGTCTTATCTTTCTTGGTCTGATGATGCTGACGTTTTCTTAAACATCAGCATGATGTATGTGCCAGATTGGGTATACTTTAATCTGTGCTGAGATTTCTTAGACTGTCATCTTTTTTTTTTTTTTTTTCCTAAAGAGTAATGTAGTTTTTAAGAGAAAAATAAACGTATTTGGGCATCTTAGGTATGTCATTGTTTGCTTTTGAGAACTTGAATCTTCACCCTATACACAAATGCTTTCATTCACATTTGGAAACAACTTTGTCTTCTAGTAGTTTGTATGCAAAAGGCTTATCTTAAAATGCCAAGCCTTAGCTTAGGATTGTCAGATAATTCAAATGAGCTTTTAATAGATAGCTAGTCAGCCTTTGTGCTACAGAGTGTTTTTGCTCCTGTTCGTTGGAGGGAGCATTAGTGTTTGAGACTGGGATGGATCAGGAAATTTGATACAGCCAGAAAGTGCATACTATAAGACAAGACTGGTACTTTAGCCTGAGGAAGGGGATGACAGCATCTACCTGGTAGAAGAGACCAAGACTGTAGTTTATGGAAAAGTGCTTAAGTCAAACTAGTCATGAAGCCCTTGCCTAGTTAACTGAAAAACTTTGGTTTGCAAAGATATGTGGAAGTTTAGACAGACCCAATGTAACTTCAGGCTAGTAAGTGAGCAAACAAGTGTCAAACATCATTTGTTTTACATGTACAGGATATATATATAAAGTGATAGTTCACTCAGTCAGATGAACAGAGGCCCCATGCTGTTTTATTTCATTATCTCTTGCAATCTGAAATATGCCAGTCTTAAATGGGGAAGTACCTGACTTCCTAGTCCCTATGTTTAAAGGACATTTTTGAGATGGAAAAAAATTGAGTAAAAATGTGAATTGGTGCTTCAAGAAAGTGTTTTCCATGGCATGTCTCTATCAACTGATTTCATAAAGGCTGAAGATGGCATATAGTCTTCCTGGATTGTGGTTGTGCAGTACATCTGTGCAGCTAATGCAGAGTCAGCCTCTATTAATTTTAAAAGCTTAATGAGGCATTACAATTGCTGAGAAAACTAGAAAGGAGTTAGAGCAATTAGTGGTCTTTCAGTATGGGATTTTCTAGTTGTATCTTAACTGCAGTAGTAGAAAAATAAGCTATTCCAAGCTTCAGTTTTGTTTGTTTAAACTTTGCGTCAGACCTGTTGAGTTGCAATAGTGTTCAGTCTCCTTGAACTGAACAAATCCTTATTCATCTGTAGTGCCTAATCGCTGGGGAATAGTTTGAGTCATTCTTACAGACTCAGGGCCTGAGTAACCATTTGATATATGGAGATACGAGGAAATAGTTGTAAAAGAAATGTGCTGTATAACTATGATACTGAATGGTGAAACATTTTGCTCTTAAAAACTGTTGCTCCCTTATCTTTCTATTCTTAAAATCTTGCTAGTGACCTTGGTTCCACAACAGAGATCTGGCCCCTTTTCTCCCATTACCAAATAACATGATCTGTAAAGACACACAGTTCTAAGTGTGTGTATGCCTTTGTCCTTCACATTATGAATTGCTAAAGAACTTAAGAAGTGGGGGCAACAGTATACTTTGAGGAGTATAAAAAATATATTAACAAAATGCCAGCGAGATAAATAATTCAGAATTGAAATACATCATTCACTTGGCAGTATGCAAAAGGTCACTTCAGATTTTTGTCCTACAGCACAATAATACTGTAAATAAGGAGCATAATAGATTCAGCTCTAACTATGTAATGAAGACTATTTGAAAGAAATTGTGCCTGTATTTTTCATGACCTTCATAAAGCTTTGTTTGTGAGCTCATTTGTCTGTTTCAATTTGTTTTTAAACAGGAAAAAAAACACTACAGTAGTGTTTGTGGTGAAAATTCTTAGCTTAGACTTCCTATGTTGCTTAAATTCTCATGATAAATTCTGCTAGATGGTTATTTTATCATTTCAGTCCGTGTACATACAAAATGCTTCCTGCCCCAAGTACCTTAAAAACTTCCTTTGTTTAGGTAGAGGTAGTGTTTCAGGTAGCTTTGTCTTGGGAAGTGTGCAAGTAGAACCCAGCATCTCAATATCGGTTCCTTTATCCTTCTGCAAAGGTAATATCACTGGGTAAATCATAATTTGGTTTGAACCCTAAATGAAATTAAAATACACAAGATTCCTGGCCTTATAACTTGAAATTAAAATATGCAGGATTCATGGCCTTATTGCCCTTAAATTATAACTGGGACTAAAAGGTAGCTGCTACCTGTCATATGGCCTTTTAATGTTAAGGGATTCTTATCTTTTATGAGTTCTAGAAAATGAAATAAAGTGTTCAGGCTTTTGGTAAAACATACAGACTTCTGTTTTGCTGCCTCCCCCCACCTTAATTTAGGAATTTTTAACTTATTATCATGACCCTGCTGAAAGCTCGAATTATACTAATCAGTCTTGTTGGAAAGCTCACAGCTCCTTAAAGGTTAAAGATAGCATGGGAATTCTGCCAACTCCATTTCTGAACTCCTCTGCTCTTTACTTGTATCTATCAAAGGTAATATTTAGTATCCATCTAGAATAACAGCCTTTCAACCTCTCACATTCAGATGGGTTTGGGTTTTAACTTATTTTTATTGATATAAATTATGAATGTATATGAACATTGAAATGTTCAACATTGAAATTGTTGTATTGTGCCCAAAGTTAATTTCTTTTTTTTTTTTTTTTTTGCTGGACAGCATCTGGCTCATTGAAGTGCTGATCCTTCTATGCATATATGTACAGTCTGTACTGGGCTTGCATGACAAGGTTTTGATTGCAGGGGGCTACAGGAATGGCTTCTGTGAGAAGCTTTTAGAATCTTCCTCTGTGTCTGACAGAGCCAACGCCAGCCAGCTCCAAGACAGACCCATTGCTGGCCAAGGCCGAGCCCATCAGCAATGGTGGTCACACCTCTAGGACAGCATCTTTAAGAAGGGAAAAAAGTTACTGCAGAACAGCAATTTCAGTGGGAGAGAGGAGTGAGAATATGAGAGAGCAACGACTTTGCAGACACCAAGGTCAGTGAAGGAGGGGATGAGGTGTTCCAGGTGCCAGGGCAGAGATTCCACTGCAGCCCATGGAGGTCCATGGTGGAGCAGATACCTACCTGCAGTCTGTGATGGACCTCATGCTGGTGCAGGGGGATGCCCAAAGGAGACTGTGACCCTGTAGGAAGCTCGTGCTGGAGCAGATTTGATGGCAGAACTTGAAACCCAATGGTGGATTCATGCTAGAGCCATCTGTTCATGAAAGATTGCACCCATGGCAGGGACCCATGCTGGAGCAGTTTGTGAAGATCTGCAGCTCATAGGAAGGACTCATATTGGAGAAATCTGTGGAGGACTGTGTCCTATTTGAGGGACCGCATGCTGGAGATGGGGAAGAGTGTGAGGAGTCCTCCAGCTGAGAAGGAAGGAACATCCAAAACAACATGTGATGAACTGATTTTAACCCCTGTTCCCTGTCCCCTTGTACCACAGAGGGGGAGGAGGTAGAGAAAATGGGAGTAAAGTTGAAGGTGGAAAGAAGGGGAGGGGTGGGGGAAGGTGTTTTTAAGGTTTGGTTTTATTTCTCATTACCCTACTCTAACTGGAAAGAAACTAATTTTCCAAAGTTGCATCTGTTGTCTGTGATGGTGATTGGTCAATGATCTTTCCTTGTCCTTATCTCAATCCACAAGCCTTTCATTGTATTTTCTCTCCCCTGTCCAGCTGAGGAGGGCAGGGAGAGAGCAGCTTTAGTGGGCACTTGTCATCCAGCTAGGGTAAACCCACCATACAGGCAAACTATTTTGCTTGAAACTTAAACAGTCATTGGTTTTGACTGGGCTTCAGCTTAAGGTACCCAAAATTAGTGCCTTCCAGTACTTAATAGTTTAAGGAACAAGGGCTTTCAGTCAGATTGTCCATTGGGATACCATTTGTTTTCACTGGATTATTGCTATAAACACAATTAGATGAGACTTACTATAGCTCAAATGGTTATTATAGCAGTTGTGTCATACATACAATGGCACAAGTCTCAATGATTTCTGTAATTTTTGTGTTTCAGAAGTTATAAAATGTAAACTGAGTTGCCTATTATTATTATTTTAGCAAAGATTTAAAGTTATATCCTTAAATTGTAAATAAAAAAGTACTAAAGTAAAATGGTGCAGTAAGAGATTTAATAAACTCTACAATTCAGTAGTTAACACTGCATTAAGACTGTGTATTCTCATTTTAAAAACAGAAATACCCTTCCATCCCTCAGGCTACAATCATCACATCATTTAGCCAAAGATTTCGGATGGGGTTTTTTGGCCTGTTCTCTTTATTTTCCCCTGCTGCCTGCTCTGGCTGCCTACGTTCTGTTCCCCAATATTTAAGTGAAGAGGTAATCAAGATTGTGGTGGTCCCCTGTTTGTGAAAACACTTTGTCTAAAAGTTAGGTGTGTGCATTGGGGGGTCCCACAGACTTCAGTGGTACTGCTGTATTTCAATTGGGCTTGGGCAGGTGCTGACTATTTTACCAAATATTTAAGGGTTGTCTTCACCCCAGAAAGAGACTCTATAATGGCAGTGTGATCAAAAGCTACTCCAGCAACAGAAATGGTTAATTTACCTGGGCTTCTTCAGGATCCTTTCTAGCACCATGTCAAATTCAGAGGAAGCTGGAGTGCCAGAAAAAATATGCCCCTGGTAAGATCAGAACCATAAGATATTTTTGAAATAGCAGTGTGCAGAAGGTCCTGTGCTTAGGAGAAGTCTGTTACATAGTTGGTTGCAATTTTCTACTTGTACCTTGTCTCACTCCCATCAGTTTACCCAAGGTACTTGTAAATTCCATTTCCCCACTTCACTTATTACCCGCAGGCTGACTTAAGAATTGACAGAGTAGAGCTGTTTCTGGATAGTTTCAGCCTGTCTGAGGATGGTTTTGCTCAAGTTCAGTTCTCCATCCTATGTCACCTCAGCGGCTGGCTGTTCCTAACTGTGCGTGCAGGCTGCTCCTCCAAAGCTCTATCACAAACTGCAGGTTTTCCTTTTTCTCAGGCTTTGCCAATCTTCTCACAAGCTCCATTTTATTATTTTTTTTTTACTGTCTGCTGTTCCTGAAATACCCACCCACCGTTTTCCTCCCTCATTCACAATTTCCCACGGACCTGTACCTTCCTTATCTCACTCCCACCTATTCTTTCACTTAGTAAATAAACAGAAGAGAGTAGAGGAAGTAAGAGCAGAAGAAAATCCATTCTACTTTCATCTCCTGTCTAACTTTGCTGCAACCTCATGC